TAAATAATAGGATCCTTATTATAAGGACCCCAAAATAAGGTACCCCCTATTTTTGGAAAGTCCCATATGTAATATTTTGTACACTGTAGCAAGCCCCAAGCTGCCAGGGTATGTGTGCTTTCTTGGCGTTATCATGAGGGCATGATCCTTGCGGACGTGGTCCATCAATTCAAGGTTTCACGCAATAAATACAATCCCCATATCTGCGAAATTTAGACCCGACTCTTAAAGGAACCCATATTTGGAAACCCTCCAGGTACCACCGTACTCGTAAACCCTCAGACCTACGAATCTGCAGGTGACGGTGATGGTGGAACAGAACGACGAAAAGCACGAGCACATCTTTCCAATCGAGCGCTCCTGGATGGATCACGTCGCCATCCTTTCCTCCGATGCACCCGGGATGAAGTTGCAAGGGGTGCTTTTTTGGGGTTTCGACAAATGATCAAAAGCCCCAAATCTTATTCCTTAAACCTTAATCTCCAGCTCCAGGGCTTCCCGTGGTCGCAGCACGAAGCCTTCGCCGTCTTCGACCAGTACGGCCTGCGGCGTGTGGCGCTGGACATCTACACGGACATGGCGAAGTTGAGCTCAACGATGGATGCCATCCGAAACAGCACCGACACAGAAGGCACAGCGGTCGTGCCTACTTGGGAGAGGGATCCTTCACCGGTTTTCTTTACTGGTTCCGTCAAGGGTTTTTCAGAAAGGGTTTTCTATGAGGGGTTCTTCAGGGGGGTCTACTACAAGAGCCTCAATGATTAGAATCGATTTTTTTGGGGGTGGAGTTAATTGGTACATATTTAGCTTACAAGGAATCCCTAAATAAACCCGAAGTGCTACTCCGGCAACCCCGAAGCCTCAGCATTGACCAACTTTTGCGGGTGCGCCGAATATACACCCCAAATACCAAGAACCTTTAAACCCTAAACCCTAAGCCCTAAACCCTAAACCCTAAACCCTAAACCCTAAACCCTAAACCCCTACATCACACGGCCCTGCAGCGGCGTAGCACAAGCACTCCTGTGCCAAGAATTCCCCACAGTGTCTCATTGGGTTTAGGGTTTGGCTTCGAACAAAAAGCCTACAAGATCGTCCCAAGAAGCTTCTAAGAAATCCCAACGCCTTTAGCCTGTAGTACCAAAAAAGCCCTTCAGCATCGCACACCCCCAGCCCTGATAAAAGAGTCTTTAGAAAACCCAAGGCCGCAAACACCGGGGCTCTCAAGCTAAACCCCAAACCCTGAACCCTAAAGCGTCCCAGAAAGCCTCAAACAGCCTTCAGGACCCTAAAGCCCTAAACGCTTTCAAACGCCCTAAAAGCTGTCAAAGCCCAGAGAAACTCCGACCTCGGAGGCGCCGTTCTTTACCTGGAGCGCTTGGATGGCGTCGCCGTGGGCCTGATCAAGGTGGGCGTATCTGAGCAGGAGGAGTTCGGGGTTTAGGGTTGGGCTTTGGCACGTTTAAGGTTTAGGGATTTAGGGTTCAGGGGTTTAGACTTATATGATTTAGGATTTAGGTTTAGGCTTGAGGTCAAGTCTTATGGCCAGGGTTCAGGGCTTAGGACCAAAGCTGGAGATGTAAGATTTTTTGAAAAGTGGTTTAGGGTTCGTTTTGGGATTAAAGCTGAGTCACTGAGGTTGTCGGCGCAAGGGTTTAGGGTTTAGGGTTTAGGGTCTAGGGTTTAGGGTTTAGGGTTTAGGGTTTAATTTCAAGAGGCTCTGGGCCCGAAAGCTACGCACAACCCATCATGTGAACTTGATGAACTTGAGAACACCCCTAGGTCAAGAGCGACCACTACGTGATCGCGAGGTGCATGAGCTTTTGTTGTGGGGAGAGGGTGGAGATTTTGCGGAAAGTTTGGTTACGGAGTTGGGGGAACTTTGAGGGTTTGGACAAAGTTAGATTTGGGTTCGGCCTTTGGGGAATGTTGGTTGAGGAATGTCAGTTCAGCGCTTCTTATGGTGCTCAGGGCGCCGCCAACACAGAACCTTGACTGCTAGGAGGTGAGGAAGTGAGGTGCAGACTGGAGTTGTGCGGGGAAACCTGCCGCTGAAAGCCGTAAGCAATAAAGAACCCGCGAGCTCTCACAGAACCAACTACAGAACTAACTTCGCCCTCTGTTCGCTAGCAGGCGCACTCGCGAGATCATCCGCGGGCTGGTCAAGGCCAGCGACGGCAAGGTGGGAAGCTCTGTGAACTCAGAAAGGGGTGTCCCAACCTTATATAAACCCTACTTGGAGGATCATGGGACTTAGTCAGTATACGGTTTGGGGAGGTTTGTGAAGCGTTGTATGGTTTGGGGTCTAGGATGTGGGCTTGAGGGTTTGGGTTCGCGTTTCACTCGTCCAAGGAAGCCAGTAAGCCTGGCGGGCCCTACACCTTGACCATAAACCCCAAATCTAAGCGTCGTTTTCACGGGCCAGTTTGTCAGGGATGAGTTGTTATTTGAGGGGTGCATGGGCTGCGACTCTACCATACTATCCCCCGAAATGAGGTTCGAAGTTTTCAGGCGCTCAGTATCTATAGGGAAGCAAAGCCAAAAGCTGCCAGGCGTCGTTGGAGGTGCAGTTGGAGAAGACCCGGCGGAAGCTGCAAGAAGGCCCTCTGGGTTCAACGTCGAAAGGGACGGTTGGTTCAAAAGCAACGCTACCAGAGAGGGTCCATATACTACTATTATGGAAGTAGGTCCCCAAAACCAATAATAAGGACCTAAGTCCATAATGGTAGTAATATTGGATCCTCTGAGTACAACTGCTACTAATATCGAGGCTGCTGGGCTTCTCTGCCTTGAGTGCAAGGCATGAAGACCCTCATGCATGTGGCCGGCTGCGTCGAGCACCATCAGGAGCCTGAACTCATCGCCAAGTTTTCTGCTTCGGAGTTGGGGGCTGTCTCAGGATTTCGGGTGCAGGGGTCAGGTAGATTTCCTGAGCTCTCCAGCCGAGAAGAGTTTGCGCCTTAGAATCGTCATGTCGGAAGTTGAGGGTTGAGAACAACTCGCAGCACTTGTAGTTCCCGTTTTGATTCTGAGCACGAAGCAGCAACATCAGTCCAATAAAGACAGAGCGAACTACTGCAATCGCAGTCACGAGTCGCTGAGTAGCAGATGAACAGCAACACCCACAGCAATGTTACCACGAGGAAGTCAGACCCATCAAAGTACGACTCGTGCTTCAATGCCGTGCGGTCAAGGGTGGAGGATCGTTCGGATTGATACCGGAGGACCCATGGTTTAAATCAAATTCCCAGACCCCCATACCCCGAGTAAGCCCTGAGCCCTAAAGCCTAAACCCTAAACCCCACACCCTTAGACCCTTAAGCCCTAAACCCTAAACCCTTAAACCCCACACCCTTAGACCCTTAAGCCCTAAACCCTAAAGGCCCCAAAAGCCCTAA